TAGGTGAAGTGGCCCTCTGTTACGTCACTGGGTTGGATGTTGCTGGGTGAAGTGTCCATCTGTTATGTTACTGGGTTGGATGTTGCTGGGTGAAGTGGCCCTCTGTTACGTCACTGGGTTGGATGTTGCTGGGTGAAGTGTCCATCTGTTATGTTACTGGGTTGGATGCTGCTAGGTGAAGTGGCCCTCTGTTACGTCACTGGGTTGGATGTTGCTGGGTGAAGTGGCCCTCTGTTGTGTCACTGGGTTGGATGTTGCTGGGTGAAGTGTCCATCTGTTATGTTACTGGTTTGGATGCTGCTTGGTGAAGTGGCCCTCTGTTACATCACTGGGTTGGATGTTGCTGGGTGAAGTGTCCATCTGTTATGTTACTGGGTTGGATGCTGCTAGGTGAAGTGGCCCTCTGTTACGTCACTGGGTTGGATGTTGCTGGGTGAAGTGGCCCTCTGTTACGTCACTGGGTTGGATGTTGCTGGGTGAAGTGGCCCTCTGTTACGTCACTGGGTTGGATGTTGCTGGGTGAAGTGGCCCTCTGTTGTGTCACTGGGTTGGATGTTGCTGGGTGAAGTGTCCATCTGTTATGTTACTGGTTTGGATGCTGCTTGGTGAAGTGGCCCTCTGTTACATCACTGGGTTGGATGTTGCTGGGTGAAGTGTCCATCTGTTATGTTACTGGGTTGGATGCTGCTAGGTGAAGTGGCCCTCTGTTACGTCACTGGGTTGGATGTTGCTGGGTGAAGTGTCCATCTGTTATGTTACTGGGTTGGATGCTGCTTGGTGAAGTGGCCCTCTGTTACGTCACTGGGTTGGATGTTGCTGGGTGAAGTGTCCATCTGTTATGTTACTGGGTTGGATGCTGCTAGGTGAAGTGGCCCTCTGTTACGTCACTGGGTTGGATGTTGCTGGGTGAAGTGTCCATCTGTTATGTTACTGGTTTGGATGCTGCTTGGTGAAGTGGCCCTCTGTTACGTCACTGGGTTGGATGTTGCTGGGTGAAGTGTCCATCTGTTATGTTACTGGGTTGGATGCTGCTAGGTGAAGTGGCCCTCTGTTACGTCACTGGGTTGGATGTTGCTGGGTGAAGTGGCCCTCTGTTATGTTACTGGGTTGGATGCTGCTAGGTGAAGTGGCCCTCTGTTACGTCACTGGGTTGGATGTTGCTGGGTGAAGTGGCCCTCTGTTGTGTCACTGGGTTGGATGTTGCTGGGTGAAGTGTCCATCTGTTATGTTACTGGTTTGGATGCTGCTTGGTGAAGTGGCCCTCTGTTACATCACTGGGTTGGATGTTGCTGGGTGAAGTGTCCATCTGTTATGTTACTGGGTTGGATGCTGCTAGGTGAAGTGGCCCTCTGTTACGTCACTGGGTTGGATGTTGCTGGGTGAAGTGTCCATCTGTTATGTTACTGGGTTGGATGCTGCTTGGTGAAGTGGCCCTCTGTTACGTCACTGGGTTGGATGTTGCTGGGTGAAGTGTCCATCTGTTATGTTACTGGGTTGGATGCTGCTAGGTGAAGTGGCCCTCTGTTACGTCACTGGGTTGGATGTTGCTGGGTGAAGTGGCCCTCTGTTGTGTCACTGGGTTGGATGTTGCTGGGTGAAGTGTCCATCTGTTATGTTACTGGGTTGGATGCTGCTTGGTGAAGTGGCCCTCTGTTACGTCACTGGGTTGGATGTTGCTGGGTGAAGTGTCCATCTGTTATGTTACTGGGTTGGATGCTGCTAGGTGAAGTGGCCCTCTGTTACGTCACTGGGTTGGATGTTGCTGGGTGAAGTGGCCCTCTGTTGTGTCACTGGGTTGGATGTTGCTGGGTGAAGTGTCCATCTGTTATGTTACTGGGTTGGATGCTGCTAGGTGAAGTGGCCCTCTGTTACGTCACTGGGTTGGATGTTGCTGGGTGAAGTGTCCATCTGTTATGTTACTGGGTTGGATGTTGCTGGGTGAAGTGTCCATCTGTTATGTTACTGGGTTGGATGTTGCTGGGTGAAGTGGCCCTCTGTTACGTCACTGGGTTGGATGTTGCTGGGTGAAGTGTCCATCTGTTATGTTACTGGGTTGGATGCTGCTAGGTGAAGTGGCCCTCTGTTACGTCACTGGGTTGGATGTTGCTGGGTGAAGTGTCCATCTGTTATGTTACTGGGTTGGATGTTGCTGGGTGAAGTGGCCCTCTGTTACGTCACTGGGTTGGATGTTGCTGGGTGAAGTGTCCATCTGTTATGTTACTGGGTTGGATGCTGCTAGGTGAAGTGGCCCTCTGTTACGTCACTGGGTTGGATGTTGCTGGGTGAAGTGGCCCTCTGTTGTGTCACTGGGTTGGATGTTGCTGGGTGAAGTGTCCATCTGTTATGTTACTGGTTTGGATGCTGCTTGGTGAAGTGGCCCTCTGTTACATCACTGGGTTGGATGTTGCTGGGTGAAGTGTCCATCTGTTATGTTACTGGGTTGGATGCTGCTAGGTGAAGTGGCCCTCTGTTACGTCACTGGGTTGGATGTTGCTGGGTGAAGTGGCCCTCTGTTACGTCACTGGGTTGGATGTTGCTGGGTGAAGTGTCCATCTGTTATGTTACTGGGTTGGATGCTGCTTGGTGAAGTGTCCATCTGTTACGTCACTGGGTTGGATGTTGCTGGGTGAAGTGTCCATCTGTTATGTTACTGGTTTGGATGCTGCTTGGTGAAGTGGCCCTCTGTTACATCACTGGGTTGGATGTTGCTGGGTGAAGTGTCCATCTGTTATGTTACTGGGTTGGATGCTGCTTGGTGAAGTGTCCATCTGTTACGTCACTGGGTTGGATGTTGCTGGGTGAAGTGTCCATCTGTTATGTTACTGGTTGGATGCTGCTTGGTGAAGTGGCCCTCTGTTACGTCACTGGGTTGGATGTTGCTGGGTGAAGTGTCCATCTGTTATGTTACTGGTTTGGATGCTGCTTGGTGAAGTGGCCCTCTGTTACGTCACTGGGTTGGATGTTGCTGGGTGAAGTGTCCATCTGTTATGTTACTGGGTTGGATGCTGCTTGGTGAAGTGGCCCTCTGTTACGTCACTGGGTTGGATGTTGCTGGGTGAAGTGGCCCTCTGTTGTGTCACTGGGTTGGATGTTGCTGGGTGAAGTGTCCATCTGTTATGTTACTGGTTTGGATGCTGCTTGGTGAAGTGGCCCTCTGTTACATCACTGGGTTGGATGTTGCTGGGTGAAGTGTCCATCTGTTATGTTACTGGGTTGGATGCTGCTAGGTGAAGTGGCCCTCTGTTACGTCACTGGGTTGGATGTTGCTGGGTGAAGTGGCCCTCTGTTGTGTCACTGGGTTGGATGTTGCTGGGTGAAGTGTCCATCTGTTATGTTACTGGGTTGGATGTTGCTGGGTGAAGTGGCCCTCTGTTGTGTCACTGGGTTGGATGTTGCTGGGTGAAGTGTCCATCTGTTATGACACTGGGTTGGATGTTGCTAGGTGAAGTGTCCCTCTGTTATGTCACAGGGTTGGATGTTGCTAGGTGAAGCAGTCCTCTGTTGTCACTGTGTTGGATGTTGCTAGGTGAAGTAGCCCTCTGTAATGTCACTGGGTTGGATGTTACTAGGTGAAGTGGTCATCTGTTATGTAACTGGGTTGGATGCTTCTAGGTGAAGTGGCCCTCTACTATGTCACTGGGTTGAATGTTGCTACGTGGTGTCCCTCTGTTATGACACTGGGTTGGATGTTGCTAGGTGAAGTGTCCCTCTGTTATGTCACTGGGTTAGATGTTGCTTGGTGAAGTGTCCCTCTGTTATGTCACTGGGTTGGATGCTGCTAGGTTAAGTGGCCCTCTGTTGTGTCACTGGGTTGGATGTTGCTGGGTGAAGTATCCCTCTATTATGTTACTGTGTTGGATGTTGCTGAGTGAAGTGTCCCTCTGTTGTCACTGGGTTGGATGTTGCTGGGTGAAGTGTCCCTCTGTTATGTCACTGGGTTGGATGCTGCTGAGTGAAGTTTCCCTCTGCGATGTCACTGGGTTGGATGTTGCTGGGTGAAGTGTCCCTCTGTTGTCACTGGGTTGGATGTTGCTAGGTTAAGTGTCCCTCTGTGATGTCACTGGGTTGGATGTTGCTTGGTGAAATGACCCTCTGTAACATCACTGGGTTGGATGTTGCTAGGTGAAGTGGCCCTCTGTGAAAAAAATGACATGTGTCTGAGGGAAAGGAAGGAAGAAAGGACGGACGGACAGACAGAAGAAAGGATGGAAGGCAGGCAGGCATGATGCCTTTAAGACGTTGTTAATGAAGCCCTTTCAAAGGAAAGAAAGAAAGAAAGAAAGAAAGAAAGAAAGAAAGAAAGAAAGAAAGAAAGAAAGAAAGAAAGGGGGAATGAAAAAATGGAGAAGGAAGGAAAGGGGAAAAGTTATGAGAGGAGGAAAAAGAGAAAAATGCAGGGTGGCCACAGTCCCTCCGATACCTGCGCAATGCTGAACCTATAAGGCTAGTCTCTGATATGAAGAACTGTTGTAATTGTGAACTGGGCAGGGACAGGATTTCCCCCCAACCTGTCATAATTCCTCCCTCCCACTCTAAAATAAGGCACTGATAGGCTTGAAAGCAGGCTTTTATTTCCAGCTTGCATACATTGCTATCGCTGCCGCAAAGTGCACGGGTGTTGTGTCGCTGCCTGAGATGGGCTGCCAGCGCTGCTCTCCTTGGCCCCCTTTTACTTCACCCCATTCCCCATCGTAAAGCGCGGTGACAACGTTTCTGCGGTAAGGTTTGTACGGAGCCCTTTTCGCTCTTCTGGTTGCGCCTTTCCCTAGTTTGAGAAATGAACACCAAATAACCAACCGAGGGAAGGCACGCTGACACCAAATCACCTCCAAACTCCTTAAAGTTGTGCACTTTGCACTGTTGGCAATCTCCAGCAGGTCTTCTGTTCTTGAGCCGAATTTGGACAATGGCCTCTTATCCCTGAAGGATAGCCACGGAGCTAAGAAAGGGTGCTGTGATATTGATGGGGGAACCATGTTCCATGTCACAAGGTGGCTAAAAGGACAGCCAGGTTATTGCAGAATCCCCGCATAGGCATCCCGGAGCTGCAGGAGGACCTGGAGGATATCTGGGAATTTTATGAGCATGATAACCAGGCCGATCAGGAGGAGAATCAAAAGGAAGCACTTCAGGAGGAAGAAATTCCTCCGCCTTGGCCTTGTTTTCAAATACTGATCCACGCATTCGGCAAAGGAGTACTTCTTGGGGGAGTAGCCCAGCTCCGCACGCGCTTTGTCTATCTTGAAGGTGTGTGTGCAAGAGATGTTGAGCACCTGCGGATCAGAAACCATTGAGCAAAGCGTGAAAAATCAACACATGACAGCAGGGTTCATCAAAGGGAGGAAGCACGGCCCAGTGCAGCCTCCTCTAACCAGATGCTGGTGATAATTGTTGGAGCGTTTAAGGAATCAGTGAGTGTGTGTTTCTGTCAACTGCAAAATAAGATGCACGAAGCTGAATGGTCGGGCTACGCTCCGGGAGCTAGCTGAGCCTGGGACTTTGGTTACTGTTACATTTTTGTTCAGGCTTGAGCTATGCACGGAACTATGTTAACATTAACTATGTAAATTAGTTTAAACTGCGCATAAATATAATGAAGACAATGCATAGTGTGCAACGTATATAATTACTTTATCGTTATTGGATGTTTGCTTTGGGTGCCTTTTTGGCATATCTATTATGCTGTTTGTTATCCATTTAGGGATTTATTGTGAATCACACTCTCTTATTAAGAAGTTATAGAAATCCTGAAGAAGGGGAAGTCCCCCGAAACAAGGCATCTTAACCCAGGGATCCTTGTGAGACAGTATTTTGAACTATATGGACATTATTTTGGACTTCAGTTTACTTTTTCAAGGACTACTCCAGTGTTTAATACATCACTTCAAAGACTGTGTAAATATTTTCTTAATACTTATCATTTGTTGTGAGAATTCTAACAAGAGAGTGAAGATACTCACCGTCGTCACAAGTAAAAGGAATATATATCATTTGGAAGAATGAATTTATAATTCCCAAGCCTTGAGAAAACTCTAGAGGGAAATTACTGAGTAGCATTTAGATGTATACCCTATGCATTTTCTTCGTTACATTTATGTGCAGTTTAAACCAATTTACACAGTTAATATTAACATAGCTCTGTGTTGATAACAGTTTACACAGAGAGAAGCGAAGAGAGACAGAATCAGTGAATGTGTGTGTGTCAACTGCAAAATAAGATGCACAAAGCTGATTGGTCAGGCTACGCTTAGGGAGTTAGCTGAGCCTGGGACTTTTGGTTACTGTTACATTTTTGTTCAGGCTTGAGCTATGCAAGTGCAGAGAAGCACAGAGAGAAGCGAAGGGAGACAGAGTTTGGAGTGTGCTCTCGCTTCATGAGTTGCTGAAGGAGTTTATCCACATGGACAAAGAAAGACTATTTTAAATCTCCCATACAAGGACATTATATGAGTTAATGCAACTGATCACACTGTACATATGTTGTTCTGAATTAAGAAGAGTAAACTAATTGTTCTTTATTTTTCACCTGTGTGGCATATTTTCTTTCTCTGGAAAGGCAGTGTGTGGGCTGATCAAAAGTGAAGTACGCGTGGTTTATTTTACATTACGCCACAATGATCATCCGCATGCCCCCCAACCAAGCACTGGCTGTGCTTGCTATAACAGCAACTGCAGTCTAAGTCATTGGGAAATGATAATTGGAGGAACCTTTGCTTAATGGACAGTGTCAAACTGCAAAGCATGCTTCGACTCAACCAGAATGGCCAAGAATGATGGAAATTTGAATTCAACAGAAGGGTCATAGAACAGGCATGGGCAAATTTGGGCTCTCCGTCCAGGTGTTTTGGACTTCAACTCCCACAATTCCTAACAACCTCAGGCCCTTTCCTTTTCCCCCTCAGCCGCTTACTCATCCTGGGAGTGCATATTTAAAATAAATATTTAAGATCTTTTGTTGTGTTTTTAGATATGAAACAGGTTCAAGCTTCTTAAATTTTATTTACAGTACTTTTTTTGGACTTCTGGTACCACTTCCGAATGACTTAAGCGGCTGAGGGGGAAAAGGAAGGGGCCTGAGGTTGTTAGGAATTGTGGGAGTTGAAGTCCAAAACATCTGGAGGGAAGGCCCAAGTTTGCCCATGCCTGGGTTAGCACCACGGGCCATTTAACAATTAAACTAATTTCAAAACAATTATAATAGAAATAAGTAAGGAAAAATGAACAAACTCTTAATTAATTATTCACAAGCTCTCTGAGCAAAAAATCAATAAAGGCAAATCTATATATTACCTCATTCCTGGTGATGGGAAGCGTTATTTCAACAAATGGGTGTAACAGGTAGTACAAAATTTCTATGAATATAGCTGTAGAAACAAAAGCAATGATTTGAGATTGCAATGATCAGATCGGAAGGCAGGAAGATGCCACATATTAAGTCTGATTTGCAGCCGATCTGATTCAACATTGTCTTGGCCAGATCTCGAGAACGATATTTTTTAGGACTACAACTCGCTGCTGACTGGAGGGATTTTGCTGTGGTCCAAAAAGCACAGTTTCCGATCTCTGGATAGTTTCAGAACCGAAGCAATCCTGGTTGCTTTGCCTGATATTCTACCTAAGAACTTCCATACGCAAGGAAGTTGCATATGGAAGTTCTGCCTCAGAGTCACAAAACTATGAAGCTGGAACCACATACTTCTTAGTTTGGCTACTTTTAGTCCAGCAAAGAAAGAATAGAGAAACAAGTTAAACACGAGCCAACAATGTGATGGGATTTTGCTTGGATAAATAGGAGTAGAGTGTCTAGATCAGGGGTCCTCAAACTACGGCCCACGGGCCACTTCCGGCCCGCCAAGGGCACTTGTCCGGCTCGTGGAAGAGGAGCGCCCCCCCAAACAGTGCCCCTCCCTTGGCTGGCTCGCGAGGTGCATTATGCGCGAGTAGGCTGTGCGGTGCTGCTCCTCCCTCGGCAGGCTCACGCTATCCGTCAGGCCCGATAGGCAGCGTGAGCCAGCCAAGGGAGGCTGCCCCGGTGCTCCATGCAGTCATGCCGGCCACATGACCTTGGAGGTGTCTACGGACAACGCCGGCTCTTCGACTTAGAAATGCAGATGAGCACCACACCCCAGAGTCACACATGACTGGACTTCATGTCAGAGGAAAACCTTTAACAAGGAAAATTGTGGAAGATCCAGGGTGGGAGAAAGAACTCTTGTCTGTTGGAGGTAGGTATGAATGTTTCAATTGGCCACCTTGATTACCATTTCATAGCCTGACAGTTTTTAGGGAGAAGTGATTAGCTGGCCCTGATTGTTTCTTGTCTGGAGTTCCCCTGTGTTTGAGTGTTGTTCTTTATTTACAGTTATAATTTTAGAGTTTTTTTTAATACTGGTAGCCAGATTTTGTTCAGACTAGAAATAGGAAGATTTCCCATTCTCTGCTCCTGGAATTACTGCCTAAAGAGGGCTAGAAAGAACCCCCTCTAAGGGCCCTTCCACACAGCAAAATAAGATATGTGCAATGTGCATAGGAATTTTTTATTGATTTTTTTAAAAAACTATAGTCCGGCCCTCCAACGGTCTGAGGGACAGTGAACTGGCCCCCGGTTTAAAAAGTTTGAGGACCCCTGGTTTAAATGTTTGATCCCAACCTTTTTTTGACCAGAGACTACTTGACCAAGGACCACTTTGACCAGGGACCATTTTCCAACATTAGTACCAAAAGGGTTACGAAATAGTTTTTGGTTGACTTTAGATTTGGTTTGGTTATTTGGGGGGCTGAGTCAGAAAATTGCATTGGATAGACCACATCAGCTCTAGCTTCTGATACAGAACATATGCCATCTAGTAGTTGCCATCTGCTCGCCCACATAAAACCATATTTAATATTCTAGAGCCACGGACCTTATTTTAGGTCTCACAGTTCACACGTTGGGAACCATTGGTCTAGATCCAGGGAAGTCATGCTACCCCTCTATTCTGCCTTGGTCAGACCAAAACTGGAATATATTGACTCTAAGCTGGAATGTTTCCAGAAGAGGGCGACTAAAATGATCAAGGATCTGGAGAACAAGCCCTATGAGGAGCGGCTTAAAGAGCTGAGCATGTTTAGCCTGCAGAAGAGAAGGCTGAGAGGAGACACAATGAGGACCATGTATAAATACATTAGGGGAAGTCATAGAGAGGAGGGAGCAGGCTTATTTTCTGTTGCCCTGGAGACTAGGACGCGGAACAATGACTTCAAACTACAGGAAAGAAAGGAGATTTCACCTGAACATTAGGAGAGCTGTGTGAGAGAGCTGTTCAGCAGTGGAACTCTCTGCTCCAGAGTGTGGTGGAGGCTCCTTCTTTGGAGGCTTTTAAACACAGGTTGGATGGCCATCTGTTGGGGGTGCTTTGAATGCAACTTTCCTGCTTCTTGGCAGAATTGGGTTGGGTTCAATGGGCCACGAGGTCTCTTTCAACTCTTATGATTCTGTGAACGACCTCTGGAGGTTGTACTACTGCTCCCACAGTCAGCATGGCCAAAAGATCAACTTTTTCAAGGAATCACGTGGCTATATAGCCCAAAAAGGTAACACTTCCAAGCTCTGGATTCATGTTCAGTTAATGCCCTCACCATGATTTGCCGTTGTGACCAAATCGTTAAAACTAGCAGAGAATTCAACCTCCAATGAAGGCTGCTTACCTGACAGATGAACCAGAAAAACAGGAACCCTTATCGATGGTTTCCTAGTGCCTAATCTTTCAAACTGAAAGAAACAGTGAGATATTAATTTTAAAACATGAGGAAAGTGGCCGCAGCTTCCAGGGAGACCCCGGCGTTCCCCCAGTGGACAGAGGGCTTCTACTCACCAGTGGAGACAACCACTCAAAAATGTTCACTTTCTCATTGTCATTGATAAAATAGGCCTGGCCGCCCTAGAAGGGATTCAGAGGAAGGACGGAATTAGGAGTTATTACAGAGCATGCGTCAAACTCAAGGTCTGAATTTGGCCTGCCGTGTCCTTTTATGCGGCCCTCCAGAGGCTGGACTACAACTCCTGTCTTCCTCACCATTAGACCTCATGACCAGAGCTGATGGGAGTTGATATACAGCAACATCTAGAAGACTGTAGTTTCTTCTGTTTAGTCAGGAGAATGGGGTTTGAATTACTGTATATACTCGAGTATAAGCCTAGCTTTTCAGCCCTCTTTTTAGATTGAAAAAGCTCCCCTCGGTTTGTAATAATAATAATAATAATAATAATAATAATAATATAGCCCGAAAAAACCTACAAGAATTGAATAATAATAATACTTTATTTGTACCCAGCTACCATCTCCCCAAGGGACTCGGTGCAGCTTACATGAGGCCGAGCCCAAATACAACAATACAAGCAATAATAACAATAATACAAGCAATTAAAATAAAAAAACATGGACAATAAGATATGCAACATTAACAATAAGACAACACACAATTAAAACTGTGGGAAGGCCAAATGTAAAATTAAAATTGAAAATAATGCTGTTTATAGTTGAGTCAAGGTTATTTATTATTTTACTCTGTTATTAGTATCATTTTATTACATTTATTATTTCACTCTATTTATTATTATTACATTTACATTATTTCACACTATTATTATTTTATTACATTTATTTTACTCTATTATTATTAGTAGTAAATTTATTATTTTATTCTATTATTATTGCATTTATTTTACTTTGTTATTATTACATTTATTATTTTATTCTATTATTACTGTTGTTATTACATTTTCATTATTTAACTCTATTATTATTTTTATTGCATTTATTATTTTACTCTCATTATTATTGGAAGGATACGTAAGCACATTTACACTGAAGAAGGTAAGAATAATGGTTCAATCAGAGTTGGACAGTCTTATCTTACATTAGTTTTATGTAAATCTTCAGAAACATTTAATCAGATTCCTCAATTACTGTAATATTCTTGGTAGCTATTTTTATTTTGAAATTTACCATTTGTTGCTACATTTCCCCCCCTCGGCTTATATTTGAGTCAATACGTTTTCCCAGTTTTTTTGTGGTAAAATTAGGTGCCTCGGCTTATATTCGGGTCGGCTTATACTCGAGTATATATGGTAGATACAACGCTTGTGGATAAGGGTGCGTGGCTTTAACACAGGCATGGGCAAACTTCGTCCCTCCAGGTGTTTTGGACTCCCACAATTCCTAACAGCCGGTAGGAATAGTAATAACAATAATAATAATAGTAATAATTGTAATAGTAATAACAATAATAATAATATGTAAATCAGGCATGGGCAAACTTCGTCCCTCCAGGTGTTTAGGACTCCAACTCCCACAATTCTGGGAGTCCAAAACACCTGGAGGGACGAAGTTTGCCCATGCCTGATTTACATATTATTATTATTATTGTTATTACTATTACAATTACTATTATATTTCTTACCAGCCTCTTCTCATGGCTTGAGGTGGGTCAAAACATAGGTAAAATACATTGTCGTAAAAAAATACAGATACTAAAACGTATGTCTGGATTGTCCCTCAACTGAGTTTGTCTACTCAGGATTTCATAGTAATAGGATCCGTGAAGGAGGAACGGAGGAGGGGAAGGCATGCCCGACTCAAGCATTGGTTGCATGCATTGAGCCCAAATGCAAGTAGAAAGTGAAGCAGGAATTCTGCTCCAATTTCTTGCAGAACCGCTTTAAAGCTGTCCTGCACAATGATACTGAGTGATTTTAGTTTTTCATTTCCAAGTGTATTTATTTTATTATTTCATTCAAATATTTGCATTTTTTGCTATATCTACAAACAGGAAGGGTAAGGAGATCTCCATAGTGCTATGCTAATAATATAATATAATGCAATGTAATATAAAATATTGTATATACATATAATAATGTATATACATATAGTATTGTTAATATTATAATGTAATACAATATAATAAGATAATATATATATAATAATATAAATGCTCTGTGCATAATGAGTACCTTAAAAACAAAAGAACCAATGAACGAAATCACACCAAATTTGGCAACAAAACGTCTCACAACACAAGGAGTGACCATCACTCAAAAAATTATGATTTTGTCATTTGGGAGTTGTAGTTGCTGGGATTTATAGTTCACCTACAATCAAAGAGAATTCTGAACTCCACCAATGATGGAATTGAACCAAACTTGGCACACAGAACTCCCATGACCAACAGAAAATACTGGAAGGGTTGGTGGGCATTGACCTTGAGTTTGGGAGTTGTAGTTCACCTACATCCAGAGAGCACTGTGGACTCAAACAATGATGGATCTGGACCAAACTTGGCACAAGCACTCAATACACCCAAATATGAACACAGATGGAGTTTGGGGGAAATAGATCTTGACATTTGGGAGTTGTAGTCACTGGGATTCACAGTTCACCTACAATCAAAGAGCATTCTGAACCCCACAAATGACAGAATCAGGGCAAACTTCCCACACAGAACCCCCATGACCAACAGAAAATACTGGCCATCCAGTCCAACTCCCTTCATCAGGGCAAGAAAACGTAATCAAAGTCCTCCTGACAAAGAGCCATCCAGCCATAGATATAGATAGATAGATAGATAGATAGATAGATAGATAGATAGATATGATTCACACACACACACAAATATAGTATCATAGATTTGAAAGGGACCCTTAAAGAAGGACAATTATATGTTGCATGTTCCAGAGTAGGCAACCCAGACAATGTCTATATCAACACTGACAAAGAAACAGCAAGAAATACTGTTTATCCACAAGCATAAAGAAATTACATATATTAGAAACCAACACTTTCTCATTACTTCATTTTCAAGATCACCAGACTGGGCCACAGCAACATGTGGCAGGGGACAGCTAGTAATATTATAATTATATATTTTATATTACATGTAATATTACTAATAATATTACAATATAATGGTATAGTACAATATAGTAATATATAATACTGATATTACTATGCTAATAATATAATATATTGTATGTATATGTATCTTGTAAGCCGCTCTGGGCCCCTTTGGGTGAGAAGGGTGGCATATAAATGTCGCAAATAAATAAATAAATAAATAAATAAATAAATAAATAAATAAATACTGAGGATGCCCTAATATTTTCAGTGTTACTCTGATCATCATCTCAGAAATTTTAAAAGTCACATCAAAACATCAATTCAAAAAAGGAATGGGAGAAACAGATGCACGAGATGGGCCTTGACTTACAGCTATGTACTTCTTCTCCGGAGTGAGTGCCTCAGCGGCAAGGATATGAGCTTGGACAAGATTTTTGATGTGGACCCAGTTCATTAAAGTGTTGGAATCCCCAACTCTGAAGGCAAACAATCCTCTCTCAATATTCAACTGTTGGAACACAGGAAACGTGAAAGGGTTAAGGTATTGCCGAATTAGCAACAGAACAGATATGACACAAGAGACCTGTGCCATTTCTCTGGATTTCAAAAGAGAGAGACTAGCTCAAAAAGAAATGGCTGGAATAAGTTTCTGGGAAGGGAGTTCCATAACAGAGATGCTGTTACACAGAATGACTCATTTTAAGCCCTTTCTACACTGCCATATATAATCCAGATTATCTGATGTGAACTGGATTATTGCTATATGTCAGCCTGTTCACCCTGCGATTGTGTCTGATGTTCATGCTGATGTTCATGATGGTAATGGGCATGATGGTCCAGTTGCTGGGCCGGTGTCTGTTGAGATTGTGGATGAGGGGTTGCTTGGGCCTGAGCTAAGATCATAAGAAAGGCCTGAGCTACGCCAGGAAGATTCACAAGGCCACATTGCTGAGAGAGGCCTCTCACTGCTTTTCTCAGAGCAAGTGTCTGAAAATGATGCTGAGATTGATTTGCTAGGTGTAGGAGTTAATGAGGGAGAGGAAAGTGAAACCATGGACAGAAAGTACAGTTTTAGTAAACAGAGGCAGAATTTTAGGGGACTAAGGCAATCAGTTCAGCTACAGCAAAAGAAAGATAACAAATCATTATCTGGTGGGGAAATTAAGAAAAATGCTTTCCTTTTAGTTTTGGAATCTGGAAAAGGTTTATAATGATCCATGGGAGACGGCTGCCTCAGTCAAGTCAACTGTTATTTTATCATGGTCTTGCTTTCAAGTGCTCTGAGTTTCATGTACCAAGTTTTTGCCAAGCTTAAGTTTTGCCTATGGGACTTTTCTGCTGTTTTGTTTCATGGTTTCAGGTGCCTTGTTTCATGGATTTCTATGTACTCGTGGATCTCGTTATCCTTTGTAGCTTATGGTCTATTTTGGACTTTGGATCTTTACGGTTTTGCTATTTTTTACTGCTTTGCGTTTTTGTCTGTTTGTTTGTTTTGTTCAGTTAGAAATGTAAAACAATGGTCTGGTTGCCCCTGACACGATAAATAAACTGCTTTGCTTACATATATTCTACAATAAACTGCTTCCTGGTTTTACCAAGCTGGTGTTCCTACTCTGGTGTACGACAATTATATGGCAGTGTAAAAAAAGGTAAAGGTTGTCCCTTGACATTAAGTCCAGTCATGTCTGACTCTGGGGTGTGGTGCTCATCTCCATTTCTAAGCCGAAGAGCTGGCGTTGTCCGTAGACACCTCCAAGGTCATGTGGCCGGCATGACTGCATGGAGCGCTGTTGTATGGCAGTGTAGACTCATATAATCCAGTTCAAAGAAGACAATATAGATTATCTGCTTTAATAATCTGGATTATATGGCAGTGTAGAAGAGTCCTTAGACAGCAAATGGTATTTTGAGCTAGTCAAGATACATACTGCTAGTCGGGGCAAATGCCTTTCTTCTTCTGGCCCATAGATGCCTGGTGATCGAAGAGCACATGTGTAGAGTTTACCGCCTCCTACGAAACAAGACACAATAAGAACTGATTCAGTCAAGCAGCTGAGGAGGAAAAGGAAAGGACCTGAGGCTGTTACGAATTGTGGGAG